TTTAGGATTAATATATCGCATATATATGGCCTACTTACAAACGAAAATAAGTAATGTAGAACATTGTACTAGCAAATACAATATTGCTTCATCGATAATATGATACAGAATAAGAGTGGTCTTCCTTAAAATTTACAGCTGCGAATTCACATCCGAATGCATTCGTGGCGGCGCTACATAGTGGCAAAATGTCAAGAATATTCGCTACACTACTGCAACCCAGGTTCGAGTCCCACTGAGTAATCAGAAGATTCTGGTTCAGGCAAGGTCGAAACGGCTATCAAGTTTAGCCTGAATGGGAATAACCTTTTGCCGTGTGAAATTCTAATGACAATGTGAGGCCTAGTCAACTGATTATAGAAACATTCAACTACCAGTCCTTTATCACCTTAAATAAAATAGGGTGAATACAGATTGTAAGCAAGTTTATTGCTTAATGCAACAAAATTGTTTTCTTTCCTTATCCAGTATAGCAAAACCTGCGTTACTTTATAAATTAATTGGACTTGTATTCAGTTTGAATGATTTAAAATTATCATTAATTCTTGAATGATCAATCAACGTCGCTTAAAGTTGTTTAAATATCCTGTTTTTAATGACGATATAATTGCTTACTACTTTTAATTAATTCAATTTAATTACTTTTACTTTTGAAATATACAATATAACAATGCCATAAGTGATGCCGTGGGTTGTGCTGAAAATGTGATTTAGGAGAATTTAGGGTTTCTTTACAATCTTATCTATCCAGTGACCCCTTGGCGCTTATGGCTGTGCAACGAAGTAGTAACGTGTCATTTTCATATTCCAGATCTGCTTTTGAACACACTGTTGGGGCTAATGATGAAGCTTGGATGAGGTCAAAACTCAGAATAAAATCTATTTACAGATAGGCTTAGTTGGAATTCAGAAGTATTGTCGATTCTGGAAAAAGATCGACCATCCGTCCTTATATTATCCCAGGCAACATAACAACAGTGAGTGATGGTTTCGTGGCCTGTTTCAACCACATTCTGTATTTCTCTTCTACTGCTTGCACCAAATACGGTAGAAAACCGACTGACTTATTTGGAATTTCGGCCTGGTTCATTTGGATCTAGTCCGGCAGATATTCATCCAGAATGCCTACTCACTCGACCATTTCGAGTAGTATCATAAATTTTGTAATCATGTTTTCCAATTAAATAAAGTTAGATTTTCATGCTAAGGCCGAGAGAAGCCGAGGTAGATGGATGAATTTGATGAGACACCAGTCAAACCGAAAAGGCCTCATTCTTATCTTTTAATCCCACTTCAACGGGTCATAGGTCTTTATTTGTCTCCACGTCCCCCAAGGGTGTCTTACTTCCCTTCACTTTACGCGACGCGAAGCCGTTGGTGGACCTGATTGTGCTTCATCACATCGACTTGGAATAACCCCATCTTGTGGGCTACTGGTAAAAATCAGTATAAGAAGGTAAATTCGTCATACGAAGTGTATCGATGGATTAAGAAATACAGCTCCAGGTGACGCGAGAAAGGAGATGAGGAGAAAGATCTTAACAAGTGAATATAAAAGTGGTAGATACACTTTGGCGGCTTACTTTTGGAGAATATCAGTCATGCATGAATCAGAACATAATGTTACTTTTTTAGAGATTCACACGACAAATAGGCCTCATCCAATTCACATTTATAGTGCAAATGTCGACAAGTTGATATCGGCACATCTTTCAGTTCGTTTGAGAAGGCGCGTGGAACTGATCGGCAGATTCGCCGCATTTGATACCGAAGGAAGGTTGGCTTGTACTTTGGTCTGTCGAATTGTGTGAAAAGACCTCGATCCTACGAGCCCGATGACTCCGTGCTGGGCTTTCGTCCGTCATGTCACGGATATCGTCAGAGCCAGAAAGCATTATTCGCGAAAAATCACCACAAAAAACCTAAACAAAAAAAAGTGGCCAGTTGATATAATATTTAATTTTTGTATCTCACTTTGCATGATTTGGCTCTCCTACATGCAGGCAAACGGTTCAAAGTGATGCAAGATGTGGCCATATCTTTATTTTATGTAAATAGACTAGCCTATGATTTTGTAGTTCTGGGTCTTGCTAGAGCTCCATGGATGCGGGTTCGTGTGAAACTGCAACAACCACGAGTTGGCTGGCCATTTTAGGTCCTAAAACACACTCCAGCATAGTCAGGACTTCTCCTCTTACTCTGGCTCTTTCTGTTCCCACCTCTTCTCCCTCTCTCTCTCTCTTTCACTTTCTCTTCAATTCTATGTTTTGTTGGGGGGACTTTTATTTCGTATGAAAGTGCATGAAGAAGAGCTTCGTAGGTCGATCTTGCCAGAAGAGGACGGATGAATCCCGACCTCCTCCCTCGTTTCGGGTGCAAACTTGACTCACACTCGTCCAACATGTTCGATTGAGCTCATCCACCAAACCAGACGTGCCAGATTATGCAACCCTAATCGTTCCTTTCCTCGAGTTGTTGAACGTTAGTGAATCTAGACTGAAAGGTTGGGATTTGTGGTTTCTTAACTTGACCTACACACTTACAAGTTTACATATCATCATCTAAAAAACACATGCTTACGGACTTACGCAGTCTCAGTTAGAGTTTTCTCTTGGCTCATTAGGCATTGAGGATGAGGGCCTAACTTTAACCTTTTGATAAATCTGATTTAGGATGGGTATTGTGTATAGAGGCTAACACACACACATACACACACACTTGAACAGAGGTAGCAGGACCAGTATGAAAGAAAATTAGCCAAACAACTCTATATCTATCTAGGTTTCAGATTTTATTTTGTTTAATTGAGTCTCTTTAGGATAGAGCCGGATAGTCTTCTTGTTGGTGAAAAGGTGTTAATATATGCGAATAAAAGATGGGTTTTGAGGAATCTCTTGTTTCAAAATTGTTGAGCTTACTTCCATTTCAAGTGAAAGTGTTGCGTGAAGAGATTCGAAGGTCAGTTCCAGCAGAAGACGACGGCGGATTCCTCTTGACCAGTTGTTGATTGGCTTTACTGGAACATTCATTCTGACGCTGTTTCCAAGGCAATCTCCTTCGATTCCGGTCAAAAGGTGCTAAGCTTTCGTCCGTCATGTGACGTACATCATCAGAGCGAGGTATCATCGTCACAACCAAATTCAAGCTAACGAGTCAAGAAAACTCACCTGCAAATCCCTAAAAAGTGGTACATCTGACCTCTTTTATCAAGTATAAAGTGATTTGTTTAGTTACGGTCATATGTCAACTTCGATGCATGTGAATGTGTCCGTCTCTGTATTTGTATGTGTCTGTTTGTGTTCGCTTTTCTTGTGACGATGTTACCTCGCTCTGAAAGCTTAGCATCGAAGCAGATTGCCTCGGAAACAGCGTCAGCAACAATCTTCTAGTAAAGCCAATCGACAGTTGGTCAAGAGGAATCCGTCGTCGTCTTCTGGTGGAACCGACCTTCGAACCTCTTCAGCCGACACTTTTGCTCGAAATGGAAGTAGGCTCAACAAAAGGTGCTAAGTTTTCGTCGACCGCATGATGAACATCATCAGAGCAAGGTATCATCTTCATAACCAAATCCCTAAAAGGTGGTATATACATTCTACATCTGGCCTCTTTGATCAGGTATAAAGTGATTTCTGTTCTCGGTCCTCAAGGTTTGATGCCCACTATCTCCCACAAGTAATGAAGTGAGGAATGAAATGGTTTTCGTTAATCCTGTTCTTTTCAAGTCTCCTGTTCATTGGATTTCTTGCAATCAGCAAATAAATGGCTTTTCGTAACTTGCGTTTCTTTGTATTTCAACCACATGCGGTCCACATTTCTGTCGATTTCTACTCGATTTCTTGCCCCGTTCGTGCGATTTGTTCCGCTATTTCAGACCTTTCAAAGTCCATG